CTTATTTCACAAACAAAAATACGTTTAAAAGGTGCACTGAAGACATTTAGCAGTCAATGTGATAATGAATTGTTAGCTATTAATTACTCAAAAACCAAAATAATACATTTTAATAGAGCATACAGTAAATGCAATTGGAAAATCAATGGTCAGACTATTGAGCAAGTAAAATCTTTTAAATACCTGGGATTAACCTTCTCACATAATGGCAGTCCATCGGCCCACATTACATCTGCAATTAATATAGCAGAGAGAAGTGCCAATGCTATTATTAGATTCTTCAGAAATGAGGGCCTAGGTTTAGAACCGGCAGCTCTAAAGCTCTCTTCTGCCGAAGTGTTGACCCAACTTACCTATGGGATGCAAATAATTTTAAATAACAAGAGTAATTACAAGACATAAGAGAGAGCACAATCTAAATTTCTCAGAGCACTGTTTAATGTACCAAAATGTACTGCCAATGTGGTTCTAAGACAGGAGGCTGGTGTACCAAGAGTGCAACTGAAAATCTGGACAATTTCGATCTATTATTGCTTGAGAATCCATCTGAAGCCTACAGGATTGAACCCCCCTGCTTCTAGCTTCTACCCCATAGCCAGACTGGTCCGCCAGAATACTAGATAAGCTAGGTATGATCGGGTTATGTCCAGCAAATCTTCTGGAAATGGGTCTGAGTAAAGCAAAATCTTTAGTTGAGCAGCGCTTGGTGGATATTGAGGTTCAAACTGATGAAGCGCTTTTACCCAAGATGTACAATAACCTAAAATCTTGGCCTGGATTTGCAACAGCACGTTATCTCTCTAACATTACATATGAAAAGTATCGATGGGCTTTTTCTAGAACGCGTTTTGATGCCTTCCCCTCTAATTTACTGCAAGGAAGGTATCTCCGTTGGCCTATACATCAAAGATGTTGTCTATGTGCAGATAAAGAAGTTGAAACAATCACACACATTCTTTTACATTGTAAACTCTATTTCAGAGAGAGACACCAGCTAATTTTTCCTTTACTTGCCCAATTTAAACCCTTGGACAACTATTTGAAATTTGCAGATACTGTGCTGCTGAAATATTTGTTGGAAGATACCAAGAAGTCGGTAACTCTGGTAGTAGCAAAACATTGCATTTTAGTAATAAACAAGAGAAGACTTAGAATTTAGGGAATAGAATTACGATTTTAATAGGGGTCTGCGGCTGGGTCTATGATGGTATTATTGTCTGTGAGTGTTGGTGATCGTACTTGTTTATTATTGTATTGTTGTACTGCACTGCTGTAACAATAAATTTGATTTGATTTGATTTGTGTGCTGTTTCCAGCCATGGGAGAAGAAGACTGTATGAGTCTGGGAAATGGCCCTTTATGGAAGTGTCTCGTAAAGAGGCCGTGTCAGACTCTGAATTCTCTAACCAGGAAAGATGAATGCTCTACAGCTTCAGTCAGTGAGGCGGATCTTTTGCATGCATCATTCATTCTTCTTCTCCACTGAGTCCTTCACCAGGGTTAGGAGGTGTCATGGCTCAGGTGGGGTGTCACCTGACGCTGCCACCACTCTGGATTTAGGATCCCTTGAGAAGGCCCAGAGCACCCTCCCAAGACTTTCAGACCTCCCTTTTGGCTGAACCGGTTAGTGGTTCCAGGCCCCCGAGAGGTAAAGTTTGCTACGACGAGGGCTAGATCCTTTTCAGTGGCGGCCCCTACCTGGTGGAACGAGCTCCCGGATGAGATCAGGGCCCTGCGGGACCTTATGCAGTTCCGCAGGGCCTGCAAGACGGAGCTCTTCCACCATGCTTTTACGTAGGGGCCGCCGCTACTACCACCACTACCAACGGTGGTAATACCATCAGGGTCAGGAGTGCCCCGAGTAAATTGGAGGTATAAGAACTATATGGCGACGAGAACAACGGACGAGTTCGCACTTTCTAGTGGACAGCGACACCCCAAACTGGGGGTTGCTGGAAGTCATTATTAAAACAACTAAGACCATCTTGTTAAATAGAAGCACTTTATTGTTTATTGTTAAACTGTACTGTTGGTTATAAATGTTATGGTTTTATTGGTTTTATATATGGGCTCACGCCCCTTGTAAGCCGCCCTGAGCCCGCTTGCGGGGTAGAGCGGGGTAGAAATACCCAAATAAAAAATAAAATAACTAAATAAAAAATAATCGGTGTGAGGAACAGGCAGAGTACAACAAGGAAAAGGTTTATTTTATAGGAGGTCAAACAACAAGGTGCAGAATAACAGTAAGTGGGTGAAAAGAAAAAAAATCAAATGCCCTAACGCGTCTTAATATATACTGTCCCTAGCTCACTATCTTCAGTGGTCTTAGACTATTCACCCTTCCCTCAGGATGAGGGTCGCTTCCCTGCAGCAGCCTTCCTTCTGGCTCTGCCCTCTGGGAAGAAAAACAACTTCTGCTCTGGCACCAGCACTTTTGTTCCCCAGCCCTCTTCTTCCCTATTGGTCAAAATTGGTGCCAAAACTTCCCAAGGCCTTCTGGGATTTGTAGGCCCAGCCTCCCCTAGCGCTAACCAGGCTCCCTGGGCCTGCTAGGCCGTGCTTGCACAGCCCAGATCATGACAGGAGGGTTCTGGGCAGTGTTACCTCTAAGCTGAGTTAGTGTGAGCTTTTTAGCCTCCGGCTCACAAATTTTTGTCTTCGCTCAGGAAGGACGGCTCCGGAGCAGACTAACTGATGCAGTAGCCAGATCGTTCGCTCACAACTTTCATGCCAGTAGCTCACAAAGTGGAATTTTTGCTCACAAGACTCCACAGCTTAGAGGGAACAGGGTAGGGTTGCCATCCCCCCAATGGGGGCGGGGTTTCCTCTGATTTTGGGGCCCTCAATCTGTTGCCGGCCAGCTGGCCGGTGGGTGGAGCCCCACCCACGAATTGCCCCACCATGCCTGACATGCCTGGTGTGATGAGATCACCTGGAGGTGACATCATCGGACGGGGAACACTCTAGTATTTGGCTAAAAACTCCATGGTGACCATAGAGTTTCTGGCCAAATACTTAGAGCATCCCCTGCACAACGTGCCTGGCATGATGACATCACTTCTGGGTGACATGATTGTGGTGCACACACTTTGCACACAGGCCAGAAGACCCAGGGGAGCAGGCTGGAGGTCCCTGCCGGCAGAAGGTAGGGATCTGGCAATCCTATTTCTGAGGCCTGTATGGATTATGCTGCTCTTTTACCTGATTTTTGCAGTAGAAAAAGAGTATGAGTCCAGTTAAGATGCTGAGCTGCAGACCTGAAGGTCTATAGTTTGGCAGTTCGAGACCCGAGTGCCGTGTGACGGAGTGAGCTCCCATCTCTGGCCCCAGCTACTGCAAACCTAGCAGTTCGAAAGCAAGAAATTGCTTTGGAGGGAAGGGTAACAGCATTCCATGTGCCTCGCCATTTAGTCATGCCGGCCACATGACCACGGAGAAGTCTTTGGACAGCGTTGGTTCTTTGGCTTGGAAACAGAGATGAGCACCGCCCTCTAGGGTCAGATTCGACTAGCTTTCAAGCAAGGGAAACCTTTACCTTTACTAGCACCTTAAAGACTAACAACATTTGTGGTTGGGTATGAGCTTTCGTGAGTCACTGCTCACTTCTTCAGATAAGCTAGAATGTGAGTCCATCTGTCCTATATATAGGAAAGTAGTGTGATTTCAGATTTCTGCATAATGTATTCTGCAATGTTGACTATTCTGTGTAATTTGGCCTGTCTTGGAAAGGGCCATGGATCTGCAAAAGGCACAGGAGCCTCATTCTCTGGCCACTGGAGATCTTATGCAGCCATGTCTCGGACTTCTGAGAGTCCATCTGGCATGGCCATGCAGTTTCAAGCATTTCTCTGCAACCTCAAGGGTTAATATATCGTGCTCTTCAGAAAGAGAGAAGCTAAGGTTCCCAGTCCAGCTGAATCCTGTGCCCAGTACCCTAGTCCTTACTTGATCTGCACTCCTGCAGAATTCTGGAATGCTCACAAGCCTGTTTGTTCCTGAGATGTTTGGGCAAGGAAAGCAAGGTGAGATCCATTTCCTCCCATCTCTCCTTATATATAATTGAATAGTGGGTGCCAAAGATCTAATTCTAAAATGCACTCCCTTAGTGTATGGCTGATGGCACTGCTCCTCAGCATATATCGCCACCAATCAGAAGGCAAAGCCCGGGTCCCGCCCACACCACAACTGCTGCGACAACCTGGTCTTTTGCATATGGAAGCTGATTGGACTTCACTCCATTCCACACCTCAAACTCCCCCCCCCCCGCAAGGCAGTTGGAATGTCAGTTGCATATGGAACCTGCTGTATTCTGGTGGTGTGCAGGTCCCAGGTTCATGTTTTAAAAGCAGACTGACACTGTTTGCCCAAAGCCAGAGCACTCTCCCAGAGCCTCTTTCTAGATCCCGCTGTATTTATTTCCACAACGAGCCTTATTTCTAGTTGATGATAAGTGACATAAATGCACAAGCCTCCTGTTTAAAGAAACTGATCTGCCTTGCCTCCTCTTTAGGTCACCACAGAGTTTGTGAAAAAGGGTGAATACTTCCTGGAAAGAATGGGGGTTCCTTATCTAGCCAAAGCCCATATCAAGTCACCTTTTGACCCAGAGAACAAGAGAGTGAGGGGGATATACTGAGATGATTGGACACGCATCTTGACCATTGAGAAGGGTGGATGAACTGACTGCAGGCACAGAAGATTAAAACGGGACAAGCACAGAGAGCCAGCAAGATCTGCATGATGTCCTCTTACTTTATTCTCATGTGAGGATAAGACGACTTGGCAAGTTTCACAAGACCCTGAACTGTAAGAACTTTAAGACATGCTGGATCAGGCTATGGTCCAGCTAGTTTCTGGCAGCATGTCGACAGGTGCATTTCTCCAGCATCCACTGCTCAAAGGTACACTGCTAGGGTGACCAACCTCCAGGTGTTATATATCAAAATGAGAGCTCATGGGTTGTATCAAAATAAAGGCGCTCCATGAATGAATTACGAACAAAAGCAGAAAGATGATATTGTACAAAACAATTCAAACAGTTTTAAATCTTTGCTAAAGTTTAACAAGCCCTTATATATTCTTAAAGAGCTGGGGTCAAAAAGTACTTGATACAAAGGGAAAATTCTAAATGAAGTCCACAAATCCTTTGTATAAAAAACTTCCAAGAGAACAAAGGTTCTACGTCTTGCAGGAGTAGCAGCTATACACGGCTGGCGTCACTACCGCGTTCGCATTCTGCTTCTTCAGATAGCTGGTACTCGTTAGCTGTGAAACTGAAAATATACTTCTATGTCACATCCACTATATTATAACATATTTACTACATCCCCAGTTGTCAACACATACATACTCACTGAAATAAAGTTTCAACAATTCTCCTTCAACTAGTTTTCCAATTGCCCCACTGACATGTTCTCTTTCTGCCGGTTAGGCTTCTACAATAGTGGTGATGGTTAACACTCAACATCAGTGTTCCCTCTAAGCTGAGTTAGTGTGAGCTAGCTCACAGTTTTTTAGCCTCCGGCTCACACATTTTTGCCTCAGCTCATAAAGGAGGGCTCCAGAGCAAACTAATTTATGCAGCAGCCAAATGGCTCGCTCACAACTTTAATGCCAGTAGCTCACAAAGTAGAATTTTTGCTCACAAGACTCCACAGCTTAGAGGGAACATTGCTCAACATTCACCATTAAGTATGTACTGACAACCTGGAGTCACAATATTCTGACACAATTTACATCAGTACATAATATCCTATTTTATATTTTTACATTTCTAAGAATAAAATTTCTAATTAAATTGGTCGGTAAACCAAAGGAAGGAAAACTGACCTGAAACAACATACTTGTATACAACCAACAGAATTTTATAAGAAACAACTTAAATCAAATTCAGTGTTCAAACCATTAGGGATCAAGGTGTTTAATTTAACGATCCACCTGTGTTCCTGGCGAAGTAATTCCTTCATAGCCAGTGGATGTTTTGAGTCTGCGACAAAGAGCACACCACATCTAAACTGGTCTTCTTTGTGGTTTTGAGAGGCAAAATGCTCTGTAAGTGGGGCTTCCCTTGTTTGTCGTTTACTTCTTGTGATGTGTTCCATAATTCTTAATTTCAATGGTCTGGTGGTACTTCCAATGTATAACTTTAAGCAATCACGCTGAATAAAATATACAACAAAGGCACTTTCAGGGGTAGAACTTGCATTACTATAAACAGTTATACCATTTAAGGTGAAATTGTCACTTTCCCACATTGTCTTACAGGCATTACATTTTAAACAGTGTCTGTGTCCTTTGGACGGTGTCCTAATCTGCGTGTCCTCCCTTATGTCCGATCTGACTATGATGTCTTTAAGGGATTTAGTCCTCCTATAACCTATCCTGGGTGGAAGTTGGCACCCTTCAATATCTCCAAGTAGTGGCCAGTATTTGGTGATAATCCTTTTGACGGAGAAGGATAGAGGAGTGTAGTCCATTGCCCATGTAACACCTGATGATGGGGGGGGGGCGCAATTGGTTTCTTACATAAGGATTTTCTTTCACATAGTTCAACCCTTCCCTTAGCTCTAAATAACACATTTGAAGGCTAGCCCCTATTCCTAAAGGCACAAAGGAGTTGTTCGGAACTTTCCCCAGTAGAATTTCTCTTTATTCTTAGCAGTTGTGAAAATGGAATATTATGTCTTAAGTGTGCTGAGTGGAAAGAATTGAAGCTGAGTAATGTATTTTTATCAGTTGGTTTTTTGAAAGTCCCAGTAGCTAAAAATAAAGAGGAAGTTTTAAAGACAGTCACATCCAGGTACTCAACCTGTTGGATGCTGTAATTCCAAGTAAGCTTAATATTAGCATCCAAGTTATTGAACCAAGTGCAAAATTGTGCCACTGAGGTTCTGTCCTTATATATTATGAAAATATCATCCAAAAAACGATAATACTTTTCTATATTAAGGGAAAAAAATTATTTTGTTCAGGTTGTAATATAAAGGTTTCCTCAAGTTCCGCCATATACAAATTCGCGATTGATGGTGCAGCTGCGCATCCCATTGCGACTTCTTTTGTCTGCAAGTAGAAATTGGTATCAAACCAAAAAATCCCCCCCCCCCAAGAAGACTCAAGAAGAATTGTGTAGGCGGAGAAGGGTTCTGTCGCTTTAACAGGATGAGTTCAACTACACGTCGTGCTTCTTCATGTGGGATACTGGTATACAACAGTGCTTGAACATCAAGAGTTAAAAGCACAGTCTCAGCTTTAACCTGAAGACCCTCAATTGCTTTAATTAAAGTTGCTGTTTTATTTAACTCGAGTTTCCAGCTCCATTGCCAGAGCGTCGCCCAGCTACGTGCCCAGTGTGCTGGCGTCACGTCTAGGCGACGGCATGGTGTGGCAGGGATGTGTTCCACCAAGGGATGTTCCGGCCAGGAACCATGTGTCCCCCACCGAATCAAGGTAAGTACTTGGTAAGCCTGGACCCTTGTAACAAATGAGTTCGACAACCCTGCTCTAACCACCGCATCACCCTGGCTTTTGGGGTGTGGTTGCTGTTGAACAGTAGGAAGGAGCCAGGCCTGAGTGAGCCATGCAAGTCAGGTGGTGGCACCAAGTGGCCTGGTGATTGCTGCCTCAGATGGCAAAAGGGCCCTGCCCCTCCCCTTGCCTTTCACCAGGGGTCATTTCGTGGAAAAAGAGGTGCAGCAGCTCATTAGCGTAACTCATTAGCCTAACTTATTTGCATACGCCACACCCCCTGACATCACCAGAAGTGTGTCAGAAGGCAACACCCACCGCTCAGGCTCCACTGGACTGTTTTGGATTGCTAGCTATGGGGGGAGGGGAATGTGCAGATCTGTCCTTGCAGAGGAGGGAGAGCTTGTGCCTGAATAAAACTTGGCCTTAAAGGTGCCACTGGACTGCTTTGGACCAGGGGGCTGGGGGGAGCTCTGCAACTTACCTGGCTGCTTCTTGCTCTGACTGAGGGCTGCTGGGAGCAGGGGGGGGCTTGTTGCATGTGCCTGCCCCCTGGGCTCTTTATTCCCAGAGCTCTGCTCCTGTGCGCTCCTGCAGGAAATTACCCCTGCCTTTCACAGACAGAAACCAAGTCTTCAGCTGGCAATACTGTACTGTTGTGGTTGTTTAGCCGTTGTTTCTTAAAGCTGCAGGCGTGGCTTCTAATTTTCAAGAAGTTTAAAACCCTTCCCCCCAGTGTATTCTTTTTTTACAATTTCAGGTGTTTCTGCAAACCTGGGACTTTTTTTTCAGGTTTGTAGAGAGATCTGTCTTGTCATGGCTCTGATCTACAGATTTAAGTATCCACAGAACTGGTCACATTGAGAAATAGATATATTGTTTTGGGGGGTGGCGGCACATGTGGGTGCAGGCACTGCTAGCAACTTGGTTTTTTAAAAAAAGAAAGCTGAGTAAGGGGACCTGAATGCTGTGCAGTGGGTTTTCTGAGCACCTGCAAAACTGGAAGCAGCAGTTTGTGCTGTGTGCATTAAAAAAAAAACACCTGACAAATTCTGAGCAATTCTGTTATATCTGCATATTTTGCAAATTTATCCAGTTGCATATACTTACCTGTTTTGGATGTTTTATTTCCTCTCTCTGCTAGGGAAGGGTGAAAGAACAAGACGGGGCCCCTGAAACGCTGCCCCCCCCCAAAAAAAACCAGCAACAACAATAACAACAGCCCTGCATTGCCTGGACCCGTTCAAGCCCATGACAAGAGCTGAGAGGGTCTTGGAATGCCAAGTTCTGTTTCTAGTACCAGCATCTCAATTTCTGCTGTGCGAATGTGAAACATGCTACATTCACTCATATTTCCTTTCCTGACAAAATAGTTTTGCTGAACCTTTATTGACTCTCAGCTGTGGGATTCAGGGCAGCTCCTGCTGCTTTCTTTGGTGTTGGGAGCAATGCTAGAGACTCTGCTTATGGTTGTGAAAATCTGGAGAATGGCTGTAGCAGCCAATGGACTGTAGTAGTTATCCTGAGAGCAGGGACCGGCCAGGAGCTCTGGAATCCCAACTCCAAGGCTACAGAGATCAGTTTCCCTGCGGGAAATAGTAGCTTTGGAGGGCAGACTTGATGGTATCATATCCCCAGAGAACCCCCTCCCCAAATCTCCAGGAATATCCTGAGCTGGAATTGGCAACCATTTCTGAAGGGAGGGGACATTCCATGCCGTAAAAGGTCTCTTGTTGTTCAGTCGCACAGTGGAGTCCAACTCTTCGCGACCCCATGGACCAGCTCCCGCCAGGCCTTCCGGTCTTCCACCGTCCTCTGAAGTTGGCTCAATTTCATGTTCGTTGCATCTATGACACTGTCTCACCATCTCATCCTTTGCCGTCCCCGTCTCCTTTCACCTTCAATCTTTCCCAGCATCAGGGTCTTCTCCAGTGAGTGCTCCCTTCTCATTGGGTGGCCAAAGTATTTGAGCTTCAGTTTCATTATCTGGCCTTCCAGGGAACAGTCAGGGTTGATTTCTTTGAGGATGGACTGATTTGATCTCCTTGCAGTCCAAGGGACTCTCAAGAGTCTTCTCCAGCACCAAAGGTCTCTTAGGGGTATGCCAAGTGCAGCTGAGCATTCTGTGCCCCAAGGGCCTGTGTCACAGCCTACCGAGAGGCTTGTGGGGCGCAGTTTGGTAGACAGTAGAAGGCGCAGTTTGGTAGACAGTAGAAGGCATTGGTGCCATCCATGTGACACGCCAGTGGGGGACCAGCGGAGCTCAAGGAACTTCATTTTGCACAGTTCTCGGGCAAGCTGTTCTGCAGCCTTCAGTCTGGTGAAGGTGAAGCATTTTATGAATGGGTAGCTGAAGATCATCTGATGAGTTTCCAGGTGAGGAAGGAATTCAGCCCAGGACTGCCCCAGTCCAAACGCTGGCCCAGCAAAGCCTTGCCCAAACCATCCCTTCTTTTCTTGCTATGCTGTTGGAGGAGAATTGGCCATCTTTACCCATTGCTCATGTTGAATATCCTGTACAGTGGAGAGTGAATTTCAGCAGGCAAAATCTCTCTCCCCTGTGTGCCTTTG